AAATCAGAAGATAGAACTCACTGTATTTCACTGAGTAAGAATATTCAATTAATCATCAATAATGTTGCAGATATTTGTTAGTAATAGACACCTCAGTGTATTATTTTCCTGTATCATTTAAAATAGAAATTAGGGCTCGGGTTGTGGCTCAGTGGTAGAGCATCTGCCTAGCACTTTCAAGGCCCTGGGTTCGATCCTCAGCACCGCATAAAAATAAATAAAGGTACTGTGTCCAACTACAACTAAAAAATAAATATTAAAAAATAAAATAGAAATTAACATTATCCAGTGGCAAAAACTGAAGACAATGGCAAAAATAATGTGTTGGGATTGTCAGGTTGTTGTTCATTTGATTTTAAATTTCTTCAAAGGCAACAGAACATTACTCAAAAGTATTTAAATGGGTGATGCTGGGATTCCTACTAACACACTGGAGAGGCAACCTGTGATTTTAGTCCCCACCACCCTTCCCTCCAGCCCTGCCAAACTAAGCAACTGTCCATTTCCTCACCACATGCACCGTTTCCTCTCCCAGCAATAGCTCAACTTTAGTATCTGCCTGAGTTGGCACCATCTTGCAAAGCCTATCTCTACTAGCTATAAAAATTTCCTTTATTTTCTAATCCTTCCTAATCCTATCACAATGCTCTCTTCCTATACCTCTTTATTTCTATTTTTGTGGCCAATAGATTCATCACTCTTGATTATGATTAATTATGAACATTCTCCTAATAGACAAGACAATGTACTTAATTATCTTAATATTTCTGAACTGAGCATATGGTGGCTAATGGTATAGGATTAGTGAAATAATAATGCCTCCCTGCAAAATGCCTCCCTGTAACACAGATTCAATGAGTCATGCCCATAGCAAATATTTTTAAAATAAATAAATTGGTCTTCTGAAATTACTTCCCTACTTATGTAAGGTACAGAGAGGGGAAAAAGGCTCAGTCACTCAGAGTGAGGAATGGTTACCACTGTTATAAATAGCTTTATATCTTGGGATACCAGAAAACAGTTCTAATTTTCAGTTATGACAGTACTAAGAAAAGTTTTTTCATTTAAATAAGAAGAAACATTTTCATTTTTACCAAAATATAGATAGGTTCCAGAACCTAACTTTAAAATATCGATATTAATGTCTTGTAATTCAGGTCCTACAATATAGTGGATTCCACAGGAACATACTAAGTAAACACTGAACTACACCCACGTTGTCCCAAAGAGCTTCCTTAATATGTAATTCTTCTTGAAGGATCTTTTGCTTCAAATTTTCTCAAACTTAGGGTCTAAATCCACTGCTTCTAATTCCCAACCACATCCTCATGTATCTATTTATTATTTTCTAATGTCTGCTCCCAACAGCATGGGAAGTGTTTTCTCCAAGATCTCCCAAATCTTCCTTACAGACAAACTATTAACCTGCACACTGATATAATCTTCTCATGGTCTCTAGCAACATTTCTTACTGTTCATCACTCCTCCATACTTGAAATTTTCTTCTCTTGGTTTTATCAATTCATCTTCCTGTTGCTTCATACACCTCTCTATATATTCCTTTCTATTTCCTCAGTAGCATCTTTTCCTGCACCTGTGAAAAGATCTTCAGATCTTCTCCATCTGTGCTCTTCTCTTGGGTCTTCTAAAGATCCTTTCTCTGTGGTCACTTCAACAACAAGCTGTATACCAATAACTCCCAAGATTATTAACACCTATACCTCTGACTTCTCGGCTCTGTTCTGCTCACCTGCCTCCAAATACCCTATGGACAAACAGGACATCCCACCTGCCATCAAACCCACTCAGAAGGACAGTAGTTGTCCACCACCCCCTGGCCTTCACCCCCATGTCTTTTGTAGTCTACTGTTTTCTGATCTCTCAGGCTAGAGCTGAATCATCCCGTACTAAAATTCTTCTCCATCCTCTATGCCTTGTGGTCAAGTCCCTTTTTTCCTTCTTAAAAATCTGTCATCTTTTTCCAGCTCTGTGGTGCATGCCTATAACCCCAACTACTCAGCTGAGGCAGGAGGATTACAGATTTGAGGACAGACCTGGCAACTTAGTGAGACCATCTCAAAATAAAATAAAAAAGGGCTGGAGATATAGTTCAGTGGCAGAGAGCTTGCTTAGCATATGCAAGGTCCTAGGTTCAACAACAGTACCATCACCATCACCATTACCACCGAAAAACCCTCATCTCTTGCACTGAGTTTCCCATCCTCCCCTGAGCCATGACCTTTATCACTACTGTCTGAGAACACCACCTCAGCTTCTCACTTATCTCCTGACTATGGACTCTGCTCATTTCCATCTATTTTATGAAGAAATAATAGATTCTGTCTTCTAAAACACAAATTTCCAAGCTCAGAGTGATTATGTAATTTTCCCAATGCTATCACAGCAAGAAATAAAAAATTCAATAACAAAACTTAATTCTCCCTTCTTTTAAAGCCTGAGTGCTTTCTACTACTACTCCAGAGCAATCTTTATTCTGGTGTGCAAAATTCAGACACAGCCTGCCTCACCAGTTGGATGGTGAAGAGATTGGCTCCCTCCTGTGACAGGCCTCCAACTCTGCCATCTGGTTTTTTTTCTTCTTCTTCTTCTTCTTATACTAATTACTTACACACAACAGTAGAATGGATTTTGACACATCATACATAAATGGAGTATAACTCCTCTTTCTTCTGGTTGTATATGATGTAGAGTTACACAGGTCATGTAATCATATATGCACATAGGGTAATAATGTCCGATTCATTCTACTATCATTCCTACTTCCATACCCCCTCCCCTCCCTTCACTCTCCTCTATCTAATCCAAACTACCTCTCTTCTTCCCTAGCCCCACCGCTTTTGTGAATTAGCATCTGCATAGTAGAGAAAACATTTCATCTTTGATTCTTTCAGATTGACTTATTTTGTTTAGTATGATATTCTCCAGCTCCATCCATTTACCTGCAAATGACATAATTTCATTCTTCTTTATGACTGAGTAATATTCCATTGTTTATATATACCATATTACCTTTATTCATTCATCTGCTGAAAGACACCTAGGTTAGTTCCATAGTTTAGCTATTGTGAATTGAGCTGCCATGAATACTGATGTGGCTGCATCATTATAATACACTGATTTTAAGTCCTTTGGGTATAAACTTAGGAGTGGGATTATTGTGTCAAATAGTAGTTCCATTCCAAGTTTTCTGAGGGATCTCCATACTTCTCTCCATAGTGATTGCACCAATTTGCAATCCTACCAGCAAGGGAGGAGTACACTTTTTCCCCCACACCCTCACCAATATTTATTGTTGCTTATATTCTTGATAACATTCTGACTGGAGTAAGATGGAATCTCAATGTAGTTTTGATTTAAATTTCTTTAATTGCTAGAGATGTTGAACATTTTTTGTATATATTTGTTTATCAACTATATTTCTTCTTCTGTAAAGTATCTGATCATTTCCTTAGCCCACTTATTGATTGGGCTATTTGTTTATTTTGGTGTTAAGATTTTAGTTCTTTAAATATCCTAGAGATGAATGCTCTATCTGAAGTGCATGTGGTAAAGATTTTATTGATTTGTTTCCTTTGCTGTGAAGAAGGATTTTAGTATGAAAGATCCCATTTATTGATTCTTGATTTTACTTCTTGAGCTGTAGGAGACTTGTTAAGGAAGTCATTTCCCAAGCCAACATGGTGGAGACTTGGGCCTATATTTTTTCTATTAGGCACAGGGCCTCTGTTCTAGTACCTAAGTCCTTGATCCTCTTTGAGTTGAGTTTTGTGCAGGGTGAGGGATCCATATGGGGTTCTTCAAGTTTTGATCCTTCTAAAAATGCAGGGACGGGCTGGAATTGTGGTTTAGTGGTAGAGTGCTTGCCTGGAACATGTGAGGCACTGGGTTCAATTCTCAGCACCACATATAAGTAAATTAAAAAAAAAAAACTCACAAAGGTCCATTGACCACTTTAAAAAAAAAATGCAGGGACCCTGATCCACTTAGAAATAATGAAAGGTTCTCTGAGAAAGCTACTGAGGAACTGCACAGGAATTCAACTTTTGGGCCAGTTCTACTTAGACTTTACCCAATTCTGTTACAAGATCTGGTTATGGGCTCCATATCTAAATCCTGGCCTTATTTTTGTGCTTCATACCCGTATCCCTAAGGATGGGACCCTCCAGTAATGATTTCAATAGTGACACTGACTGGACATTCACCTACGTTAGCCTCCTACAGTTTAGCTAGCACCTTTCCTCCTCTTATATCTCCTCCAATGCCGTTTAGGTCCAGAATCCACCTGGAATCTCCTCCCCAAAGCTCTCCATTATCTGTCATATCTCTCCCATTTCCAAATGGCCCATTCCCCTCAAATATTACATTTCAGTCAATTTTTTTAAGCCTAATTCCTCTCAAGATTTGATTGCGAACACCAATTCCTTTCTGGAGCTAGAAAACCATCTATCTTAACTTCAAGGTTCAACTGCACAGTAATCAGTAAGAGGCAAAGCATGCCTACTACAGGATGGGTTCTGTGCACACAGAACATTTCATGAGCAGACACTAGGCACAACACAATACAGTCAGATCTCTTTAGGATAATTCTACTGCCATCTAGTGTATCTCAAAGGAACAACAATTTATTTCTAATAAGGATAAAAATTATTCTAAATAAGGATTACCTTATAAAATCTCTAAAATAGATAAAATTGTCAAAATGAAAAAAAAAATGTGTCTGCATTCAAGAACGAAACTGTGCCTTCCAAATCTATGATTACAAGCACAGTCCTTAAAACTACATTCAAGCTCATGGAGAACAGGAAATGTGAAGCCAGGTTCACAGTGTTACTTGAAAGAACAATTTAAATATATTGTTTAAGAAAATAAGTCCCAAATTGATTTTTCTTTCATAGGAAATAAAAAGCCCGTCATAAGAACTACCTTAAAATTAGCCATAAAAGACTTAAGAAATGATATCTAAGAAAAAGTGGACTTACCTGAAAGTGCAAAATTATTGTCCATATTAATCCCAAAGTCAATTTGGGATTTCCATCTGTTATGTCATCATTTCTAATATTCACTAATTTCACCTGTTTCATATATGGAAAAGAGAAAACTGTTATTAAACCAATTATCTTTACCTACAGAAAAGCAATCCTTAAATATGCAAATACAGTAATCACCAAAATACTGGTTTACTGTTACCTTATTTTTGAGGGGCAGAGGAGGTGTATTAGAGACTGTACCCAGGGCCTCCTGCACTCCAGGCAAGTACTCTAGCACTGAGCTACATCTCCAACCCTCAGTTATTTTAATATAGCAAAGTACAGGGTAAACACAAAGGCAACATGGGTGTTATTGTGGTTTTGTCTTCTAAAGCAAGTACTAAAAGCATCTACTTGTCAAAAATACAACTGTAGTCAGGAAGGCCTAAGTGTCTGCACTCTTAAAATTAGAAATAATTTTTCTTTCAAAATAGGTTTTTCATCCTTATCATTAGATAGGAAATTGTTCTGATCCATAAAATAATTTTAACAATGTCTCACACTTCCATCACAAATGATTTAAAAAATAGCATTATTTTTCTATCAATCTACCATAAATTAGTATATGTCACTGAGCATTTGGAAGACTGTTCAAATTAAAAAATAGTATAATACTCAGACTAAAGCTTATCAACTGCTAAACTAGGCATTCAGGTAAATTAATGTAACGATAATATCTAACATTTACTTCCTAGACAAAAGAGTCAAATATCATGTATTAATTACCAAGAATTATATAACATAATATCTAACATTTTTCTTACTGGAAAAATACTACCACAAATATTTCAGGCAAGAGTGCATAAGTAACCATTAATACTTTGGAAATTTCCACTAGAATGCAGAATAATGAGGCAAAAGTAGTAATATTTAAAACAGTTAAGCATTAAGTATTTACTAGCATTTAATAACTAAAAGAATTTAAATATGCCCAATAAGCTAAATAAAGGAATAATAAAATCCACTGTTCCCCTCTCCCCTTTTCCTTACTTCCTTTTTTTACCCACTCCTCTAAAAACTGTTGCCACCCAATTTCTTGTTATTTTCATTAATTTTCAACTCTCCTGCCTTTTTCTCTTGTACTTGAAAGACTTATGTTACTACAATACAAAATGCTACCTAATAAAGATCACATCCAACATTCTTTTCCAGAAACCTCAAGCTAGTTGAAGACTGCTGTCAGGAATGTTATTTAAGTTTTAATCACTCATAAACTACCTAACATTATTACTATGGTTTGAATATATACAATTCCAAAATTCAGATGCTGCCTCTGTGATGAGGTTGAAAGGTGGACCTTTAAGAGATAATTATGGGGCTGGGGATGTAGCTCACTGGTAGAGCACTTGCCAGGGCTGAGGCCTTGGGTTCCATCCCCAGCACCATGGAAAAGAGAAAAGAGAAAAAAACATTAATGAATTATGTTATAAGGGCTCCTCCTCTCATGAATGTGATGAGGTGCCCTTACATAAAGAGGCCTGATGAGGGACTGAGTTTGCTTTTTCACCTTCCTGTCCCTTGTCCCTTCTGATATGTGAAGACACAGGGGTCCTCTCCTCCAGAGAAAGCAGTCCTCACCAGACATCAAATGGGGATGCCTTGATCTTGGACTTCCAGATTCCAAAATATATGAGAAATAAATTTCTGTTCTTTATGAAATACTCACTCTCAGGTATTCTACTACAGCAGAATAAAATGGACCAAGATAATTATCAACTTATAAAAAATAAAATATTGCCTAATCACTATTAAGTACTATGAATGCTTATACTGAGTTTTAGAAAGTATGATATAAAATGTTTTAATAAAATGAAGTATTTTTATATACTAAGGGTAAAAAATAAAATGTTGTTTCCCCAGTACCAAGTACTGTTCATAGGCATACTTAACATTCCATTGCTACTAAAATGTCATTAACTGCCTAGGCAAATGCATTCCAATTCAAACAGAGAAAATCAGTTGCTCTTATTCAGATGGAAATGTAGCCACTTATAATTCCTTCTGAGTTTATACCTAATATTAACTTCCTTTTCTTCAGAACAAATGTTTAAAAACACTTTAAAATATTTGCCTCACCAAAGCACAGCTTCATTATTATAATTCATAGTCATGTTTAACCTTTTTCTTCCCTGACATGTTTTATGTAGATTTACTTAATCACATATGTTTATATAATTAGAGTCTGAAAACCTTCATACCTGGCGTCTTTTCAAATAGTCAAGTGCAATTTGTACATTCTGTAGCCTGTGGAAACGCATCCGACCTTTTTCTCTGGGCTAAGAACAGAAAAATGTAGGTATAAAAAGCACTGTAGTTTCTGATACCACTGCCCATGCTAACTTCATTAGACTTTCCACTCATCTGAATATATTAAAACAATATTTAAGTAAGCCCGTAAAATTTTTTTAAAAAGCTTTTAATTTCTTCATATTATCTGGGACTGAATGTAAACTACTAATTAATTTCTTAATGCATTTTAAATTTAATACTTCATTTCAAAAGTTTTATCTAAACAAAAGTTAAAAGAGAAAATGCCATAGAAATACATTTTAATGTTCACTAACAGAATATTCCTAGCCCACAATTTAACTGTGGATGCACAAAAATAATTAAATATCATTCCCCATTTTGCCTTCTTAATAAACACTGACTGTTAGCAGGAGGGTTTTTATAATTATTGTATATATGGGATGTTAATGAAAATGAGGTAACATAGCATGCAGTTAGTATAAAAATCACCACATAGAAAGGAAGATTGACTTAGTATGATAGAGGAAGAGAAAAACGCGATTAAAATCACATAATATATTTCCTCTTTATTTTATTTTAGCTTTTTCACAAAACTGGACTGACTCTATGATAATGAGAAAGACTACACTAGTTTTACACTGCATGGTAATGGACAGGATTACTTTCTCAGTCTAAGGAAAAGTGACAAACCATCATTCTTTTCCTTAACGCTGTTTCCCTTAAGAAACGATACAAGTGAGCAGAAGGAAAACATAAGGAAACAGAGCTGAGAAATGTTTAACGAAAATACAAAGAATGGAGCAGGAATCTGTCACATAAAATCTTCCCAAGGGAAAAACAAAAAAGGTAAAACTGACAGCTTAGCTTCTTAAATATGAATAGGTTACTGAAGCCAAAGGTTCCATAATAAAACAAACAGCAGATCACAGAAGGGAAATAAGTTCTGCATAACCATTGGAAAATATGTTGATAAATTCACCCCTCAAATCCAACAAAAGCACAATTTCCAAGGAAATCAGGGGGCACCTGGGATGGAGATGACAAAAGAAGCACATCTGCCTTGCCGAGGTGGGTCAACGTTAGCTGTGTGTCATGGAGATTCAACAGCTCTGTGGATTTGGTTAGGATGCTAAATTTTAAAACCTTCCTGTCTTTAAATATGGTAAGACCTTTTAGAATGTCCACCAAACACCTACTGCCAATAGGTATGATTTAAAGTAGAAACTTAAATCCTAAATAAAATTCCTATAAGTCCTTTGAAAAAAATCAATAGTTGCCAAGTTTGAAATATCAATTCCATAAGTGAAATGAGTTTGCACAAAAATTAGCATGCTTGTTCTAAGATTTCATACATATATACAAGGTATATGAAATTCCTTAGGTAAAATGCTGTCTTATAATTTAGGCAAATACGTGCAATTACCATGTGGTGCACACACAGTAATGTGTAAATAATTCATTTTAGCTCTCTAAAGATTTTTAAAGAGAAAATATTTCCTTTGTCCAGTTTTTTTTTTTTTTTGGCACACACATCCACCTCGCTGTAGGCTTTGGTTCTTCCTATACTTTTCTCAAGAAAAGCCTGTGAGTTACTGCTCTATCAGGTTAGCGCTCACCACACTGGACCCACTAGGTTAGTCGAGTTATGGGGGCTGACACCTACCCCCTTATCCTCATCCTCCACATCCTCATGCTGTTCATATGCGCATGCTTCTGTGGCACTCACCAATCGTAAGGTCTTCAAAAAATCTCGCTCCCTTGGCTAATGAATATAACAGACAGAAGAAAGGACAGCAAAGACACAAGACAGACCAGAAATGAAAAGAAGAGCATGAACAGAACATAATGAGGGAGCACAGTAACCAAGAAGGGGAGGTAATGTTCACAAATAAGGAAATGACACCTGAGGAATGAGTTAGACCATTTTTTTTTTCAGAAAGCAATGTTTATTTCCGCGCTATTTGTGAGTCTTTTAATGTGTGGGTATGTTATGCATCCAACTGCTGCTAAGCAAAAAAAAAAAAAAAAAAAAAACCCGAAGGTTAAAAAAAGAAAAGCAAGAGCAAAAATAGTATTTTAATGATTATATAAGCGAAGTCATCGAAGTGCTTCAAGTTTCTCAAATTCACACCATTTGAAGTCTTGAGAATGCTTAGGCATCTAACCAGAACTTTTTTTTTTCCTGATAGAATTCACAGCTCAAAGGATGAATGTTGCAAAAATCTGAAAAGTCTATGTTGAAAACACACTTGTTATATGTGGAGTGGACTAAATGTTCTTCAAAATGAATTAAGAAAATTGAAACTTACCAAGGTATCTCCTGAAAGAACCTCTAAGAGAGAGATCAAATTGTGTCCGTCCCTTAAGTCTTCATAGAGATCATTCACATGTTTCCGAACCTACACAGAGAAAAGCAAAACTTTTGGTCCTACAGTTCTGAATCATTCTTAAACAAGAAAGGAGTATGTACAAAACATTCTTCGTACAGTATTTGTTCATGCACCCATTTTTTATTTTTACTTTATCATTACTTAAAAATTAAATTTGAATTTCAAAGCTAGAAATAGTGAACTTCAGATTTATAATTTATAAAGACAGGACTGTTAAATTTTTAGTGCAGTGAATAAACATAAGCCTGGACTATTGCACGGGGTGACCATTGCTTCCCTAAAGGCAGTACCCTGACTTTATTCATTATTCCACCTTCACCTGTGGGCTGTGCCCTTATTCCCAACCCCCTTGAATCAGTCTTCCTACTCTGCAGACCACTGAAAGATCCAGGATACAAAGGCATACACTCCATATCTTAAGAATCCATAGTAAGCTGTGCAAAGGCTACATGAGACTCTACGTATCATTCTTCCAACTTCCTGTGAACTTATAATTCTTTTAAAATATAAAGTTTTCTCAAATCCATACATGTCAGATTAGAAGGCCTCTGTCCAAATCCTCCTCTGCTCAGCACAAATCTTGTGGTAGAGAGTTTTCAAAACTCAGTAACAGCACAAAGTCAGCACTCAATCTGTAACAGCTTCCCTCATTCCACAGCACTGAATTCAACCTGTTATTCTAGAGCTCAAGCCACTATGACTCCTAGAAAGCTCTGTCTTTCCAGCAGGGGCAGATCCCACAAGTACTTGGCCTACTACTAAGCTTGTGCTAGATGGACAGGTGTCCTCACAGGCTAAGATGGCTGTTCCACAGTGGGCAGGCACATGTGCACTTCCTCACCTGGTAACAATTCAGGGATAGGGCTAACATTACTTTTGCTACTCCCATGAAAGGAGCCAAAGAAGTGGTCTAGCAAAGAGACAGGAAGCAGAATCCCATCTACTTAACAAGTTGCACAAGCCCTGAGCACTTGCTAGTCTTTGGAGTAAAATGCTAAAGGTTTCTAAGTATGAATCAAACTTCTTTGCATTTCTCAAATGTCATGTGAACATACAGCACAAAGTAATAAAAATGTTTAAAATTCTTTTGTTGTTGTTGTTGTTGTTTTAAATATATTTTTTAGCTGTAGGTGGACACAATTCTTTTATTTTATTTTTATTGGTGCTGAGGACTGAACCTAGTGCCTCATGTGTGCTAGGCAAGCGCTCTACCACTGAGCCACAACCCCAGTCCCAAAGATCTAAAATTCTGATCAAAACCATCTGACTATATAACAAGAAGCAAAAAAAAAAAAAAAGGTATAACGTCAACTGAAATGAAATTTTTAATGGTAAGTCTTTCACACACACACCCATACACACAAACACACACACACAAACACACACACACACAAAAAAACTGGTTTAAATGCTGTTAAACTGCATTATTTTCATTGACTACATTTATAGTTTACAATATCTTGTTTTTGTTTTGTGGTGCTGGGGATTGAGCCCAGGTCCTTGTGCATGCTAGGCAAGTGTTCCACCACTGAGCTTCATCTCCAGTGGCGGTAGTATAAGAAAATATTTTTGATTCACGACAAAATTCCACTTAGGAGTAACATCAAATTACTGACTCCTCTACCCAACATATAGGGACTTTTTGCCAAGGTCACAGAACCTTTTAATATCCAGATACTTGTCTGGCATCATTATCCACAAATATGCAATGTATGTATTAAAGTCCACCACTAAGTAACTGCTAATGTCAGCGGTTCCTAGAAAATGGCCAGCAAAAGTAAGAGTTCGTTACTATTAAACAAATATCCATCTTTACAAACCTACATTTAATTTTGATTTCCTAGTTACCAAAAAATACCAGTTAAACTTTGGTATCACAGTAAGAGAAAGTTTTAAATTACTTTATTTCTTTTTTAAAAAATCATAATACTTTAGACAATTCTTATTTATAATATTATTAAAAAAACAAAGTAAGTTACAAATAAACTGCATTGAAATATGTGCCTCAGGATAGTTAGTATTAAATGACAATCTCCTCAAGGCCTTAATTATATTCTAGAGATGAACCAATTCTCAATGACCTTTTCAGGAATGCAACTACTATATCCATGACACATACAGGAACATAAGCCCTTGCTGAGATGAGAACTAGTACTGTAATTTTCAGGTTGCATTAAAGCACTGTAGGAATTTATAAGGCCAAAATCTTTACTTAAAATCAAGCTTGTGAATGTTGCACATATTAAAACATCTAGATTTATGTATTTCTTACTGTACCTCCAGTGTAACCAGAAAGCAGCCTAACCCTAAAAGAGCTTGAACAGGATCACTAAGAGATCATATTTATATAAATAATATTATGCAGCTACTGATCCTCAGCCAGCTGCTTAATCTCTTGAAATAAATGGCTTTATTGTGCGGGCCTGACATCCTCAGCACACAAGGACAGCGGAAACAGGCACGTGATCAGGATGGGGCCTCCCCAAAGAGTGACTAATGCAGTGTTGAGAGTTCTGGTGAGCCCGCCAGACTCCACATTTCACTCCACATTTCACTTCCTGTGTCTTTCTCACTCCAGGATAGTTAAAGACGGGGTGTGATTATGAACACTTATTTCATAGGAAGGCAATTTCACAACTTGCCTTGCCAGGTTGAACTAAACCCCCTACATCAAAAAAAAACTTCCAAAACCAGATGTCATTTTTCACCATTCTATTTATACAGAAAAATTAAATTAAGCATCTTTAGAAAAGGATTATAATAATACTATATCATATTAAACCAAATTAGAAAAAGAGAAATCTTGTTAAAGGGGAAAAAAATCACAATAATTAGGAGACCTGCATTTATGTCCCACTTCTGACCCTAGCCTCATGAACTTGAACCAACTACCAACTGCCTAAACTCTCCAGGCCTCAGGGGTTTTTTTGTTTTTTTTGTTTTTGTTTTTTTCATCTGTAAAATAGAAGTCTAATAAAGAAATTCTCTCATTCAAACTAAAAAACAAAAATTCTACCATGTGAAAATAAAATTATCATTTTCTAAAATTAATGACTTGCCAATTTAAAAGAAAGCATGTAAACTGAAAAGCTATTCAAAGTCTTGTAGCTTAAGAATTTTAGAAGAAAAAATAGAAATGGAGTAATTTAATTTCTGTAATGCTTTAAAGTATTCTGAGACACTGGTTACCATGCAATCTTGCCTGCCTTTCTAATTTGAAGTGATTAATCTGAAATACTGTATATGAAAACTGTTCTACAAACATAACACATCAGGGCTGAGGGTGTACCTCAGTAGTAGAACACCTTACCAGCATGCATGAGGCCCTGGATTCCAGGGCAAAACAAACAAATGTAAGTTATCATTATTTACATATTTATCATTCCATAGAAAGTAAATGTTACCATTAACAATAAAAGGCAAAAATGCATGATGAGTTGTTACATTACTAGGGGCCCAGCCCTGTGATAAATGCTTTATAAATAGCAGCTTATTTTGCTCACCATAAACAAATTAGGTAAAAAGAAATGGCATTAAAAATATTTATAATCAACATTATAATTCAAATATTATAATCAACAATGAACTGGAATAGGAAAAGTGAAGTTCTAGAGAAATATCTGATCACGAGAGCAATTTAGGAAAGAGAAAAGAGAGAAATTAAACAGTTAAACCTACACAGGAATCATTATTTTACTTTGTCCTAAGTCTGAGTCATAGACATTTGGCCTGGTAACTTTCCTTCACAGATGACTACACTAACTGCCAATAGCTTTAACCTTCTGTTTTCCATTTTCAGTAAAACATTCTTTCTTCTCTTTTTGGATAGTTTTTCCCAGTGAAACAAAAAACTGTCAGAATAAATAGTGCTAGAGAAAGTGATGAACAATGTAGAAGCACTCTGAGGTACCTTGGGATTAAATTATATAACTTGAATTACATAATGAGAGCAAAGCATCACTTTCTGTATTTCACAAAATTCTCCAAGAATTTTGCAATATTTTCTAAAATTTTTACTACATTGCATCTACAGTTCACCCCTAGGGGGTGCTAACCTTGCACTTAAGAGAACATCCTAAGAAAGGAAAATAAATAGACAAGAAAACCTTTCATGGGGGAAATGATTCTAAATAAGGTGCTGGTAATAACATAGGCAATATTTCAAAATTATCTTGAGAATAAAATATAGCAGAAATATAGCAGAATATGTCAGGTCTGTTTTATCCAAATGGATTAACTGATCAAAAAAAAAAAATACATGCACACACACAAAAACAAAACTCAAAAACAAACCAACCAAACTCCTACTCCAAAAATGTCATTTTGCTAATCATTTAGTGATTTGGTTTTACATGAGCTAAATCAAATTCCACTTTGGAGAGAACAGGAATATTGCATAGCTGCTTATTAAACTGCCTTTTTTCAAAAGTCTCACTTTGTAGTGGTTCATGTTAATCTTCACAAATGCCACAATAATTTTACTTCCCATATTTAAGCATGTTGCTACCATGTGGCTGCAGTTCAACGGAGATCACCAAATATTTACTGAGCAACCATAGTGAATATACTCAGAGCATGGTCAGGGAGCTTTATCCTAGTCTAAGCTCTAAGAACTCCTCCAATCAAAGAAGTCAGGAATGTTCTCCAGAGAATGAAGAGCAAGAACAAGGCAAAATCTGTTTGGTGAGTTCCAGGGGGAAGCAGCCTGGAAGGTGAGGCAGGAAACTGGGCCTGGACACATGGCAGCTTCATGTGCCACATTAAGAAACTTGGACTTCACCTAGGTGAAAAGAACTACTAAAGGCTTTTAAGAAAAATGAGGAAATCCTATTGTGGGAGACCAGAATATATTACCCCCAAAATGAAGGATTGCTGAGCTAAAGACAAATGAGAAGCAGGAGACTCAGGTAAGCTCTCTACCCTTCCAACATCTGCTTAGAAGCAGTGCACAGATTTTCAAAGACAAAAGGTATCTTCTGATTGTACCAGAGAGAACAAGGGTTAACCAC